GAGGCTATTTTTGAGTACACTGCTTATCCATCAAGTGCACAACTAAGTCAAGTAGCAGAGACCTTGACTAAAAAACATCCCTGCCTCAAAGAACCAGGTTCTTTTCATGGATGTTATGGATGGATTCAGCGCCTCAAATATAAAATGAACAACTTCAGATCCAAACTTCGAGGTACTGGCTGCCCCGAAATTGTGGTGAACTCACTCAAGAGGAAACCAGCACATGAGCAGGCTCCTGCTAAAAATGTTAAAAAGCCTAAAAAGGCTGAAGTAAATTACCTACCTCCACATCCTCAAGGGGAAACAAGTGGAAGTTTGGAGAAGGAAAGAGTGGACCTCTTGTGTGAAGTGACGAAAAGGGAAAATTGCCAGGTGATTGCAGGGAAAATGGGTAAGACATTCTCTCTTCGCAGGCAAGAAATCGTATATGAGGCACCCGCTATCAGGAACTTCATGGAGCGTTGGCCTGCATTATTTGATGCGACACAGGTACCAAAAATTTTTCTCTTACATTTCATACATAATACACTCATATGACTCCCCATATGTTCTATATTTGATTTTCTGATTACAATCTTAATCCTAATGCACAAAGTAAAAAAAATAAACATTCTCATACACAAATATTTTTGAATGCAACAGTAAATAAGCAGAAACATGACTCCAACAGTACAGAATAAAATGTAAAAAAATTAAATGATGAATGTGATGGATTATCAGTTTAAAGCAAGTTTATCTTAAATGCTTTGAAAACAACAGGTTTCTTTTAAAGATAATTTTGGTGAAGTCTGACATTTGCTTGGAATAATGGTTGCAGTTTCCTATAACAGAGTATTTAACTGGTCCAGCTTTTCACAAGTGACTCATTTAAAGAGTATGGGGAAAAAAAACAATCAGTAATAGTGGGCCATTTTGATGTTGTCCATTTTACTATTGTGGTTCATACAGATTTAGTTGTTCCTCTTTAACTAATGTATTAGAACATTCATTAATGCAATATAGCTAATTTTCTGCAAGGATTAATTCTTCTGTTTGTGTCATCTACAGATAAAGGAAGAGTTCAAGAGAATAACCACTGTAAGCCTGGAATCCACGTTTATGGCTAAACTTGACCATTGCACCCCAAAACTGATGGATGTCGTTTCATCAAGGGGAGGAGCTAAAGGAGTGAGAATCAGGCAGATCAAGGACATGCTTCTTGAGGTATGATAACTATTTAGACTTTGTGTTGCACTTTGTGTTATCTTTGAAATGCACTTTGTTGGCAGTCACCCATGTAGTTTATACTCATACTTTATCTTTTTTTTTTCTTGAATAGCACAATACAATTGAAATGCGCAGAGAAGTAGCCATCCGCTGCCTTATCACATACCTTGGAGAGAAGGAAGAAGACCTTTTCATGGAGTTTGGTGTAAGTAATTCAGCATCTTAAACACAAATAAATCCACACTGATCACAGTGTAAATTTGTATGAACAATTCAACTAATGATTGTAGCGTTTCACTTAATCATTTCAGCTAATCCAATATGTCAAAGCTAATAATTATGTATATGTTCAATTTGAGTTTATTGTTTTCCTTAGTTTTACATTCTAAATTGATGACCAAACCTGGCATACTGTTGTTTAGTTTTCTTAAAAACAAACTAGAATGTTGTCTTTAGGCCTACACAAGTGAACCTCACATTAAGCAAGTAAATCCCATGTTAGAAATCGATTTAGGTAGAGCAGGTCAAACTGGTCATAGAAAATGTTGTTCATGTTGTGTGGTTAAAAAAAATCAAAACAAAAAATGGGCTGTATTTTTATTGATTTGTCTTATGATACCATAATTTTGTCTCATGCTTATTGATAGATCCTATTTGGGTCAGTGTGTGTGTGTGTGTGTGTGTGTGTGTGTGTGTGTGCACTGATCTTCTGAATTATTAAGATTCAGCAAGGATAAAAGTCTAATCTATAATCAACTAACCTATTTTTTAAATGTGCTTTACAAGGACACAGAAGAATTTGAGGCCAACCTAGAAAGGCAGGTGATGAAAATTGCCATCATCGGTGACCGGTATACCCCTGGATCTGACCACAAGACTGCAACCATTGTGGTAGAAGGAACAAAAATCCTGGAGGGCCCGGATATCCCAAGTTGCTGTGCGTTACTCATGGGCATAATATATGCTCTCAATCTGAGCTATTGCAAGGAACTGAAATATACTTTCGAAGTCTTTCAGAAGCTGTTGCTTGATCTTGATGGACTGCGAGCCAGTGCAAAAGTAACAAGTCTCAAGAACAGTATGTTCTAAAGATGTCACTTGTTTTGAGCACTAAGAAATTTTATTCAGATTGTGTTGCTTTGTATTTGGAAGTCCACTGGGAAAAAATGATAGTGTTGATAAAAAATAGAAGACACTAATTGTTTTCTATCTAGTTATTTTTGATATTATATTCAAGAAATGTGTCTTGACAGTTGTTGTACTACCCTGTCCTTAACACTTATCCTGCATTTAATCCTCAAAGAGATGTGCTGATGAATGAACCAGCATTATGTTAAACATGTTGACTCTGTTTCAAAAATTGTTAACCATTTTGAGTCCTGTATGTGTAAAATTAATCTTAAATGTGTTTACTGCATAAAAGTTTGAACACTGAAAGTTAACATTTACTGAACACTTAGTACAAATGTTTTCTAAGTGGATTTCTGGTTTATTTTCACTGTTTAAATATAAGGTGTTGAATTGCCTAAAGTAAAATATAAATTGTACAAACTGTACAAACAATAAAAAAAAGTTAATTGCTTAAAAATGTTGAAGTCATTCCATTCTTAAAAGCTAGTTCAATAATAAAAACAAGAAAAAGCTAAAATTATGATGATAATGAAGAAAATCACCTACTTAATATTTTAAATGATTAACTTAAAAATAATGTTTTCGTAACTACTATCATTAATTACATAACACTTAAAAAATAGTTTTGAATAATATGGAAAAAGAAGTTGGAGGAACATAAATTTTTTGAGTAAACAACTTAAAAACATGTTTTTAAGTTACCAATTATTAAGTATATGGTAATTAAAATTACCTTTACTTATAGAGGAAAAGTTCATTCCTCTAACTCAATGTAGTTTGTTGGTTCAACGTAATTTCTGCACAAGTTATCTTAACGCAAAAAGATTAATGGAAACTGTTGCGTTAATTTTTTTTGTTGAACTTAAACAATAGTTTTTAGAGTGCACTTGTCAATCACTAAAGAGTTCCTTCACTTGTCAGTCACTATGTGGTACTAAAGAGCTGTCTGAAATTCAGTTACTTTACTTAGTACTATGTTCCTCCTACGCCGAGCGGCGCATCGGGCAGCTAGTGATCTCCATCGATGTCGGTCAGCAGCGACTGCTTCAGCTTCGTCCCAGGCAATGTCGACAGTTCTCAGATCGTCCATAAATGTTCGACGCCATGTGATCTTTGGTCGGCCTTGCTTTCGCTTGCCAGTGCGTGGACGCCATGTCATGGTAATCTTAGCTGGGCGATGAGGGGGTAGGTGTAAAATATGTCCCGCAAAGCGAAAGCACCTTTCTGCAACAACATCGGCTAATGGGTGGGTGCCTGCTCTTCGTGGGACCTCCTCATTTGTTATTCGGTCCCGGTAGGAAATTCTCAGGATTCGCCGCAAGCCACGTTGTTGAAGCACGTTCAGGTGTTGAATAATTGCACTTGTTGAGCGCCAGGTTTCACTAGCGTAACGTGCAGTAGGGAAGACTATAGAGTTCAGTAGTCTGATCTTGACCCTTACATTCAGGGAGGTCGAGTTCCAAATAGGTTGGAGACGTCGCAGGACACCAACTGCCTTCCCTACTCTGCCGTCGACATCCCGATCAGAGACCCCGTCATTCGAGATGATGCTGCCAAGATATGTAAAATTCTCCACCTCTTCAGCACGTTGTTGGTTGATCATGACAGGAATGCGGGCACGTGCATAGCCAACTCGGAGTACCTTGGTTTTTTTGGCACTGATTCTCTGCAGGGCCGCGGTCAACGAAATTCAGTTACAACCCACACAAAGTTACAGATTGGAGTATCCGAGTGCTGAGGTGCGCTTGTGCGCAAAAGTCACAAACACTCTGCTGACTCACTAACTGTACAGCTCCAAACCTCTTCCGACCTCAAAGTCAGCACAGAAAGTGGGCGCCACGAGCTTCGTAGTATGTGTTTACATGGCTGAATAGCTGCTATATTCGAACAAACGCCTTCAGAGGAGACTGCGACCTGAACGCAGTGCCTTCGACCGCTTGGCGACCAAAAACAAGTTATCACTATGTGACATGCAGTATGGTTTCACCTCCCAATAAGCAGGTCCCACCAAGATTTGAACGCAGATCGCTGGATTCAAAGTCCAGAGTGCTAACCATTACACCATGGAACCGATGTGAAACTGTGTGAACTGTCATGTCATGGCAACCTGCCTAAAAGTATTCAGCCAAATGATCAGTATGGATGACATTGTAGATTATTCGCACTACGTTTCCATGGCTGAACAGCTGCTAGATGTTACCTCAGACATGGTTAAAAGCCCTGTTAACAGGAAAGCAGCTGGGCATTCATTTGAAACCAGTTCACAGGTTGGGCTGTGGTTCCCCCTCTAGCGTGTCTGCTTGAACTTTCAACTGTGAACCTCTTAGATCCAACCTTCCCAACTGCTCATCTCGCAAAAGACAAAATAGAAGAACCCAGAATGTCTTTTTATACCTGCTCACGCTTTTTCACGCTTCCCTCACAGGACGTCACATTTCACACTTTGGCCATCCAATCAAGTTGTTGACATCTAATCATTCCTGTCCACCACACCTGATCTTTCTATTTCGATCTGACTTACAACATTTAACACAAACTTTTAAATCAATATATTTTCTTAGTAATTATTTTTATTTGTTTATTACATGCACTTAACATACAAGTATGTCAAATGGAAATCAGCAACTGCGTGGGATTATTCAACTAGTTGGCTGCTGCAATGTGTCAGGATGGCCGAGCGGTCTAAGGCGCTGCGTTCAGGTCGCAGTCTCACCTGGAGGTGTGGGTTCGAATTCCACTTCTGACAATTGTATCTTGGCACTTCTTTCTTCCTGGTACTCATGGGTCTTTGATCAGTGGTTAGAGAGTTAATCTCATACAGCTTATGACAAACTTTGATCCGAAGTGATTGATGGCCCTAATCACGACCTTTTGACCTCCTGCCCCTCCCCCCCGGAAGCGTGTAATGAGCGTGACGAATCGCATCCGGAGAAGGGGTGTGGGAAACCCCCCGCGTGTCGAATTGCATCCTGAGAAGGGGGGGTGAACCCCGGAAGCGCGCCATCTGTTGCTAACCGTGTCGAATTGCATCCTGAGAAAGGAGGGGGGGAACCTCCGGAAGCGCGTCATCTGTTGTTGGGAAAAAAAAGTTTTTAGAGGGGAGGGGGAAACCTCCGGAAGCGCGCCATCTATTGGAGGAGAATAAAAAAGCAGAGAGGTGGAGTCCGTCACAATTTCTAAGGCACAGACACAAGATGGATTTCCTTCTGCAGCCCAGCAGCGTTCCTGTGTCCGATGAGATCTGCTCTCCCAAAGAAGGCTTTGAATATGACATATTCAATCTCGATCCGGACCTTATGACCCTACCGGAAATACTCCGGAAGTGTCTAGTCATTTTCAGACCTGTTGCGTCATGTTCCCTAAGCACAGCGGTGATGCAGCAGCTGATTCTGTGATGTATAGAGAGACAGAGCGGGTGTAATTTTACTTTCTTAAGCTGCACCGGCGTTTGTAATGGAAATAAAGAGTGACTTCCTGTAGAGATTTCAATAGTATTTTATTTTCCTATAATACAGACGCTGTAAAAAACCTTTAAGATACACCATAGCTTGTGATGAAAAGAAGAACTTTCTATCCGCTTGTAACCTACAGGCTGCCTATGTGTAAAAAACGAATAAATATCCCTTAGTGAATACTACTTTTCCTTTTGAGAGACTGAAAAACAAACCAGCGACAGGCGATCTTGTTTCACTCACACACACACACACACACACACACACACACACACACACACACACACACACACACCCCGCGGGCCAAGGAGGAGTTTTTTCTTCAATACTTTAACAATAAGTTTTCTCAATAGATAGAAAATGATGACGCTGAGGAGTCAACATCCGATATTATCATTGCTTGTAACCCGGTAAATAATTTCTTACATCTCCCCATAAAACAAGTCTTAGCGGGGAAAAAAGCTCATATTCGAATAAGTTTATTAAAGCACCCCCCTCTGTGGGAAAGAGTCAACCATGAGGCGAGTTTTGTCAACAGCAATTGTCCATTTGGTAAAACAAATATCCGTCTCAAAGTCGTATTTTACCGTTGCAGAATGCGGAAAACAGACGGCGTTCGCAAGAAGGCACACACACACACACACACACACACACACACCCCGCGGGCCAAGGAGGAGTTTTTTTTCTTCATTACTTTAACAATAAGTTTTCTCAATAGATAGAAAATGATGACGCTGAGGAGTCAACATCCGATATTATCATTGCTTGTAACCCGGTAAATAATTTCGTACATCTCCTCCCCTAAAATAAGCCTTAGCGGAAAAAAAAGCTCATATTCGAATAAGTTTATTAAAGCACCCCCCTCTGTGGGAAAGAGTCAACCATGAGGCGAGTTTTGTCAACAGCAATTGTCCATTTGGTAAAACAAATATCCGTCTCAAAGTCATATTTTACCGTTGCAGAATGCGGAAAACAGAAGGCACACACACACACACACACCGCGGGTCAAGGAGGAGTGAGACGGCAGAATAGTTTTTTTCTTCATTACTTTTACAATGGGATTTCTCAATAGATAGAAAATGATGACGCTGAGGAGTCAACATCCGATATTATCATTGCTTGTAACCCGGTAAATAATTTCGTACATCTCCCCATAAAACAAGTCTTAGTGGAAAAAAGCTCATATTCGAATAAGTTTATTCCCCTCTGTGGGAAAGAGTTTTTTTCTCAGAGTCAACCATGAGGCGAGTTTTGTCAACAGCAAGAACAAAGCCAGACAACTGTTGCCCATAAGGTAAAACAAATATCCGCCTCTAAGTCGTATTTTACCGTTGCAGAATGTGGAAAACAGACAGCGTTCACAAGAAGGCATTCAAAAAAAGGAAATTGGATACCCCAACTCTCCCGACTGCACACACACACACACACACACACACACACACACACACACACACACACACACGCTTGCATAGATAAACTCTGAATATAGTAGTGGGACTTCAGCTGTTTATGTAACTTACTATCTTAAGACTTTTGTGTCTACAATAATTAGTTTCCTTGGAACCAGATCCCTACCTGTTAATAATTCTCCACTGTACCCATGGTTCAGAAAATTACAGTCAGCCTGCCAGGGACACGTCACTCAGAGAGCTTTTAGAAACATGAGAGGCATCCATACATTTAGAGCACGGGTCTGTTATCAGAAAAAAGTACAAGCCGGAGTTGAATGGTGTTCAGTTTCACCTTCCTTCCTGTTGCTCTATGACGTAGTTTGAAACAGAAACCACAAGTGAGTCAGTCTCGGGTCGAGGTTAGGATTTCCAAAATCAGAGTTCACACACATGTAGCTCTTGATCATATATGTTCATATGTTAACAGTCTTTTTCTTCCCCTTCTTTATTTCTGCGGGAGTCAGGTGGCAGGAACTCTGTGGAGGTATTTCATCTCCAAAGGCATTGAGTATCTGGACACTGTGTTTTTCATCCTGAGGAAAAAATTTAACCAGGTCACCTTCCTGCACGTCTACCATCATTGCTCCATGTTCACGCTCTGGTGGATTGGCATCAAGTGGGTGGCAGGAGGACAGTGTGAGTAGCTTACAACACAGCAGACATCAGCTATATGATATATATATGAATTTATCAGCATTGCTGTTGATAAAGCCTTCATCGGCTCTGTAGTTTTGTGGTTTATACTGGGTGAGGGCTGGGAAGGACACAAATGCCTTGGTGGATGCTTCAGGAAGCTAAACCAAACATGTGGAGCTACTTGTCTATAAACCTTTTATTCACTACTGGTTAATGTATTCATTATTGTTGTTTGTTGAGCTTATTTATTTTTATTTTTTTTATAATATGCATCTGCATATTAACAGCCATGCTAGCAACTCTGTAAAGGTATACCATTGGCAGAGGAGCACTTTGAGCTAAGTGCTAATGCCAACAAGGCAACATGTTGAGAGTAATAGCATTTAATCGCTGAAGTTTACTATTGGGTACAATGTTTATCATGTTCACAGTATGTATTTAGCATGATAACACGCTATCACTTGCTAATTAGTAAACACAGGTGCAGCTATATGTATATTTGCAAGTAGATGATTGTGACTGAGAGTAAACTGAGTCTGAACACTGATGAGGAAGCTAGATGACAAATTTCACTGAAACCCACAAGCATAGTATCGTCATATGTAGCTTGGATAGTTTAATCTGGATTCATGGGCCCCTGGACCTACACTTGTTTGTATCTCCCACCCCCTCAACTATTGCCTTTTTATTGGATACAGACAGCAGGAGTTCAGAGCAACTCAGTTTAAGATTTTTTTTAACTATAGTAAGCAGAACAAAATTAAAAACTTATTGTTTCTTCTACTGCAGCATTCTTTGGTGCACATATGAATGCGATGATCCATGTCCTGATGTACCTGTATTACAGTCTTGCCTCCTGTGGACCTAAGATCCAAAAGTACCTGTGGTGGAAGAAGTATCTGACAATTATCCAGATGGTAGGTTGATTTCCAGGGTGGCTGATTTTGAAATTAAATATACTGATTGTAGGGATCATTTGACTGAAAATCATTCTTCTTGCTATGAAAGAACGGTGAAAACACAATATGGTGCAAAAGCATAACTCTTATTCTCTCTTTGGGGCTCAGATTCAGTTCCATGTCACCATCGGTCACACGGCCTTGTCTCTCTATCTCTAAAGACAGAGCACATATCTGAACCACTGGAACACAGAGGTAAGAGAAATCTGTGGAGATACATGCGAAGGATTAAACTATAAATTAGTTAATATTAGATTATTTCTGCCAAGAAAAATGTTGCCTGAGTTGATGTAGCAGTAATCTTGTTTGCGTTGGCCATGTTTCTTTTGGTTTGTGTTACCTTACCTGCTTTTCTTTCATACTCTCTTTAGGTAATAAAGCCACATCTTTACCATGAAGCTACCTTTGGCTCTGGTGTTTGCACTCACCCTCCCCATCATCAGGGCTCAGGTTCCTCACTGGGGCCCGTGTCCAGAGCCTGCTGTTCAACCCCCCGTCAGCCTTAAACAGGTACCAGTGACGATGCAGACTGTGCAGAATATGCTGAACACATTAGGCGTGAATGTCATGAGATACTTCTTCTCTCGCACAGTTTGAAAAGGAAAAAGCTGACACCACAAACATTATCAGAGATTTCTGTTAAACGAGAATTTATTAATATAAATATGTTTTCATGTGAAAAAATAATTTAATTTATTAAAAGTACTTTTTATTTATATAGTTTATAATATATATATATATATTTTTTTTTTTTTCAGCATTTCAGCATAATCTTTGTTGTAAGTCAACTCAGTACCCAAAGTATTGTGTAAGTAAAGCTTTTCAGTACCTTTAATAGCATAGAAATGTGCATACATTAGTACAATAACTGAATAAATGAAGACAGACTTTTTCCCAGAGGGGAAACTTGGCAAAACATTGTGTTTAATTACTTCCTCAGCTGGTGTAGAGTAGGTTTTTATAAAACACATACCATATATCAGAGTATGTAGATTTATTCATAGTCTGCCGACCCCCTCTTCTTCTTCTCTGTGTTGGTGTTGTTGTTCGTGTGCGTGTGTGTGCGTGTGTGTGTGCGTGCCTTAGAAGTCAAATAATACATTAGCCATACTTAAAAAACATCTGAATTTCATTTAGAACTGAGATTCTAAGTTGTAAGCAGAAATCTTATGCACAGCCAGAAACATGTTTCCCCACTTTCACAATGCTGAGGTGTCAAATCCACAACCCCCAACAAATGGTTTGTTA